TTTATTAGGAATTGCGGTGTAGTCTCATATAAGCAATTTAAATAACAAAGAATCTTGTATTTAACCTAAAATGGTCCCAAGATTAAGTCTCATTTTACACATCATGAAATCAATATCGATAACTATGAAACTTGTTGACATTGAAATCTATCGCTCTTTACCACATCAACTTTAGGGTGACGAAAGCAAATCATTGCGTGAATCTAGAGTTTTTCTTCTTTTTTTCATTGGGAACGGCGTTGAATTTGTGAAACGGCTATTGAGAAAGAGATGACGACTCTTTCCACTTTACTAATCAAGTCAATCAAGACATTTACTGAGAAGGGAAAAGGCCCCTATACAGGGGCCTGTATACAGGGGGCCAACTCGGCCCCTTGTATACAAGGGCTGTATGTGTAGCAGGCCCCTATTGAGAATGTATATGAATAAAGCGTATGAGAATGTTTTGTTTAGAGATATAATCAATCTTTTAGAAAGTAGCTTTTACTATTTATATTTTGTCTACTATTTTTGTGTGAACTTTGGACTCCTACCGTCAAGGCTTGGTTTTCTTTTGATAAAAATGATTTTTTGAATTGTTTATTAATGGGAAATGTGTTAATAAAATAAAGAAAAGTTTTAGATTTGCAAGTAATATTATTTTATTGAAAAATGTGTTGTCGAAATGATATTAAAATACTGTTTAAAAATATTTTTTTTTTTCAAATAATAGAAATCAAACCAGGGCTAAATAAGGGGACAATGTCAGTGATTGCTGGTCACATCATCCAAGAAGAACGCGTGATGTCGTCTTTGGAACTTCGTCTTGTGAAAACTTGTTTCAAGCGTATGTCTCGTTTTATGTCGGGATAGTTATTGTTGCTTATTGTAAAATGTCTTATATATGTTTTACCATAGTCGATTGGCTCCTCTAGCTATTGTACTCTGAGCGTTAGGACATCTCCAACCATTGCACCAAATTGCACCAAAATTTGGTGCAAACTTCCTCCAACCATTGCACCATTGCACCAAATTTTGGTGCAAAAAATGGTATAATGAATAGTGTTGCACCAAATATGGTGCAACACTATTCATGTTGCACCAAATGGTGCAATGTCCATTTTGTCCTTATTTTTCTTTTTTCAAAGATAATGGTTAAGAGCATTTGTGTCATTTTCGTTCTATAATAATAATGATAATGATAATGATGATAATAATAATAATAATTACTTAATTAATTACACTATTAATTATATTATTAAAGTTTATTGTTTTTAATAATATAATCAATAATAATTAACGTAATTGTTAATTTAACGTAAAGTTAAATTCGTAAAGTTTACGTTTAAAATTTAATTTAATGTAAAGTTTATATTATTAAAGTTTATTATTTTTGTAAATTTAACGTAATTGTTTATCATAAATTAATAATATAATCAATTATTTTTGTCAATTTAACATAATATATATGACATGTGATGATATAGTAATCAATATATTTGTTAATTTAATGAAGTTATGATTTAGTAATATATATAGTTATAAAATAAATAAATAAATAATATTTTAAAATAAATATATTGTCAAAAATCGAAAGAATGACTAAAATAATAAAGCACTGTTTATTTAGTGTAAATTTTAGTGTAATGGTTGGAGAAGAATTTTGGTTTGGTGCAAGATTTAGTACAAAATTTGGTGTAAAATGATAGAAAATTTGATACAGGATTGGAGATGGTCTAAAGGATTAAATTCTCTGTCGCCGTCAGCCACTGTGTTCATCTATCAATTTACGGCACCTAAAAATCTATTCTTGGCATTATAGATTTTGGTTTAACAATTCACTGCATCCAAAAAAAAAAAAAAAAAAACGAAAATTTGCAATC